AAACTAAAAATAAGCCGGGCATGGTGGCTCCTGCCTGTAATCCCAGCACTTTGGGAGGCCGAAGGGAGCACATCACCTGAGGTCAGGAGTTCAAGACCAGCCTTGCCAATGTGGTGAAAACTTGTCTCTACTAAAAATACAAAAACTAGTTGGGTGTGGTGGCGAATGCCTGTAATCCCAGCTACTCAGGAGGCTGAGGCAGAAGAATTGCTTGAACCCAGGAGGTGGAGGTTGCAGTGAGCCGAGACTGTGCCATTGCACTCCAGCCTGGGTGACAAGAGCAAAACTCGGTCTCAAAAAAAAATAAATAAATAAAAATAAAAGTAAGCAGGGCGTGGCGGCTCACACCTGTAATCCCAGCACTTTGGGAGGCTGAGATGGGTGGATCACCTGAGGTCAGGAGTTCGAGACCAGCCTGGCCAACATGGTGACACCCCATCTCTATTATTTAAATAACAATAATAATAATAAATAAAAATAAGGCTGGGCACATTGGGAGGCCAAGACAGCCAGACTACTTGAGGGAATTTGAGATCAACCTGGCCAACATAGTGAAACTCTTGTCTCTACTAGTAAAAATACAAAATTAGTTGGGCATTGTGGTGCAACCCGGTAATCCCAGCTACTTGGGAAGGTAAGGCATGAGAATCACTTGAATTTGGCAGGTGGAGGCTGCAGTGAGCCTGAGATTGCACCACCAGCCCGGGCAACAGCATGAGACTCTGCTTCAAAACAATAAATAAATCATTAAAATAAACATTAAATAAACAGAACTTCGGGAGTCCGAGGTGGGCGGGTCACGAGGTCAGGAGTTCGAGACCAGCCTGGCTAGCATGGTGAAACCTCATCTCTACTAAAATTATAAAAATTAGCTGGGCATGGGGGTGTACATCTATAATCCCAGCTACTTGGGAGGCTGAGGCAGGAGAATCGCTTGAACCGGGGAGGCAGAGGTTGCAGTGAGCTGAGATTGCACTCCAGCCTGGGCAACAGAACAAGACTCTGTCTCAAAAAAAAGCGCAAGGAGCAGCAGGAGACTGAAACGTGTGAACTCCGTGAGCTGTGGGAAGGCAACCAGAAGGCAAGGAATCCTGGGAAACAGGAAATGCACCCAAGACCAGAGCCTTTTTCAAATAGTGGATTTTGTAACCTGTAGGTCAGGGGACTCACGAAGACCCCTGCAATTCTCAAACGGATCATAAGTTATGTCGGTAGGCTCAAGGGGGTGGTTGGGGCAGCCTGGGTGAGGTCATGGGACAGGACTGCCCTGTCAGGCCTCTGGACTGCGGCCTGGTGTCCACAGCAGTGTCCTGCCCCTTGGCATGCACAGGTCACCTTGGGGACCCCCCGACAGGGAGGACAGAGCCTCTCGGTGACTCCTGTGAGTGGCCTGGCGGATTCCTGGCTGAAGGCAGACAGTATAGTCGCGTTGGGAGATTTTTGTCGGCCCATCCGGTCTTGGGGCAGCCCAGATGAAGACAGCATGCCTGTCTGACCCCAAGCAGGACTGGCCCCTGAGCTCGGATGTTCACTGCCTTCCAGGGGGAAAAGGCAGCTGGGGTCAGCAGGGCACAAGGCAGGATGCACCCAGCCCCAGGCGGTGGTGTCCTCCTGAGGGAAGAATCATAAACCCCTCAAATGGCTACCATGGCTAATGAGGACTTTCAGGCTTGTGGCATAGCCTGTCCTGGGGACGGCATGTTAGTCAGAGAAACTCTACCAGAAGGCCTTGGAAGGGGACCTGGGCAGGCAGGGTGTGGGTGCCCACAGTGAGCCTGAAACTCTGCCTCTCCCCAGGCATCCCAGCCACTGGGCAGGTCCCAGACACACAGGGCCCCTTTCTGGTCCCAAGCAAGGCATTCTTCCGCCAGGGAAACTGAGGCTGGAGGGCATGGCTGCCCGTAGGGCCTTCACACGAGGCGTGGGCCCACAGCCTGGGGGCTGGCCTTGGTCATGGGCCAGCTGGGACAGAAACCCAGAGTGCACAGTGACCACTGCAGCAAGCTGGCTCCGCTACGCCCA